CCAACACCCTGCGATAGGAATGACTGCTAATTCAGGTAAAATGTCATTTATGATTAGGACGAATAAAGCATGGAAGGGTATATAGTTTAGAGTTATTTGTTATAAGTGAGGATTAAATCACAGTTAGGCTCTGGGATTGTGTTCATACCCACTTTAAATAAAAGTCAACATGCCTCACTTGGAGGCTAGTCATATTCGAGAAGCACTTAAACCATCTGAATTAATGGTTCGGTTTCTGGGACGTCTACTTTGACGCTTTGGCAACACGAAAAGAGTGATTGTTGGAATTCTTGCAGTTGGCAAAGAGAACAGATGGGACGACTAAATTAGTGTTTAATGTGGAAAATGAGGATGGGTCAACTGCCTTTACTGTTCTAGTTAATGAGTAGAAAAGCAAATTTGATAAATTTTCGTATAGATTAACAAAACATTTTAATTTATTTCTCTTTTTTTCTACTCACACATTAAGCATTACAGTAGGCATTCTTAATCACTGCCAAAGAGAAGATTGCGTCTTTCAGATGTTAATCTTCGAGACAAGAATATAAGAAAATTTAAATAAAATTAGTATTAATTGACAATTATTGGTAATTCATCAGAAAGGAGGAGAGAGGTCCATTTAGTACAAGATGAATGGTTGGAACAGTCTACAAAGACCCTGAATTCACAGTCCTATAGGCTTTCTAAAGTGATAGATGAATAACGGAAAAATTGAAAGATTAGTATTAGAAAATGGCACACTTTCTCTCCATATCCATTTTTAACGAGATTTACTGTTCATTTGTTAGTGTTTCTCTGAGCCTATTTGTCAGCATTTACAGCAGAGATTGTTATTAGTCATAAACATGAAACAACGCTGAATTGTCTAGCGATAGACGTTCTATAGAATATGGTGAAATCTTAATTAAGTTGAGGATCTGGAAGTCGGTAGGAATCACCACGACAGCCGACAACATTCTGAATGTGAGTAAAAAGGTTAGCAAATTGAGTAGTGCTCTAATTCAGAAGAGACACTATGAATACTGAAAGATAAGGAGGTGAAGGCTTGATCCTAAATCATATGATTCATACATTTTGCGTGCATGAAACGCACTTGGAATTGATTATGGGAAGATTAAACCAGAATTATGCCTCAAAATTTTTGCTTGTGTTTTTCAAAAAATTTGCGACACACTATTTATTTAATTTTAATTTTTAAGCTTCAAATATGGTATACATTCAGCTTATTTCGTTTCAGGTGGCAAGGGGACTGTTACTTGAATTTTCCCACAATAATATGAGTAGAGCTAACGTTTTCGTTGAATTTCGTTTAGCTTTAATTTCTCGAAAAGTAATCTCATCCCGGATTAAGTGAGCTGCATTTTCGACCTCTTCTGAACTTGTCTCATCAACACCTCCAGCGGGACTCGAGCCATAACAGTGCAACGTATAATCTTGACACGTTGATGGATACCCCACATTGTTACGATTGCCCTCGGGCCACCGAGGAGATATGAATTTCAGAAAGGTCAGGCATTTATTTTCACATATCACATTCTGCGGTTGTATTGTCGAAGAGGCAAGCTTTTATTCGCCATAGCAATCGACTACAATACACAATTTTATTTTAGAAGTAGGTTTTCGAGACTAACAATAGATCACTGACCAGCAGTTTCATCGAAAATCCTACATCAGAAGGTGATATGAAAAAATGCCTGTCATTCCTTGAAATTCACATCTACTCTGTATGCCAAAATCACTCTTAACAATGGGGCATAATGGTTAACGTGTCTAGATTATACGCAAACGTGTCATAATTCGAGTCCGGCTAGGGTGAATATAAGATCTTACTAAGTTGAAACTGCAGTCCACACTGAATGAGAATACCTTCCGGAATAAAGGTCACTTTGAAATTCAATAGAAAACTAAGGTCTACTTATCTGATTGTGGGAAAATTTAACTACTTGTTTTATTTATTATTCGCATTTAAGTATTGTTTTGAGCCTAACAGTAAATCAGTAGTATGAGATGTATTCACTCAATTTCGTTTAAGGTTATGAGTGACTGGTATAAGAAGAATTTTCTCACAAAGTTATGAGTAGAGCTGACGTTTATATTGAATTTCACAGAGCCCTGCTTTCCAAAAAGTTGTTCTCGTCCAGGCAGAAGTCTACTACAGTTTTGACCTCACATCGGTCTTGTCTAAACCTCCAGCGGGAGTCGAACCGTGACAGTGCAGAATGGGAGTTTGACGCGTTAAACACTCGGCCACATTGCCACGAATGCCCTTGGGTCAGAGGGCAAATGTGAATTTCAAGGAAGGCCGGGCCCTTTGCCATATCATATTCTTTGGTGGGATTGTCGATGAAGCAAACCTATATTTGCTATAACAATAAACGACGTTACTTAATTTTTCGCATTTAAATATCGTTTCGAGACTACCAGTAAATCAGTAGTATGATATGTATTCAACAAATTTCATTTAATATGGTGAAGGACTGGTTGAAATTCATTACTTTGGCACAATTTTGTGAGATATTGAAACAAACGAAGACTAAGTGCGGTGAAGATGGTAAAATATGTAATATAAGTGGGAACAACTTTTGGGAAAGCAAGGCTATGTGAAATTCAATGGAAGCGGCAGATTACTCATCAGATTGTGGGGAAATTCTTCAACCTGTCTTAATCACCTTAAACGAAATTGGGTGAATACAGCTGATAGTAAAATAATACACTGGTAGTATCAAAAACCTACTTATAAGCGGAAAAATGGTTCTTTTTACGTTTGTTTTGGTGTCTGGTGAGCATCTGTAAAGCATTGGTTGTCTTTCCTCACGATGTCTATCACGGCTTGGTAGAAGAAAGCTCAACATAGATTCTTTGGAATCTCGAGACACTTCTCTGAAACCTCAATCGCACAAATTCATGTTCATAATTTTAAGGCACCTCTTCTTGACTCGCGGAAAGTCCCGCCTACACATCCCTTCCTTTCGCTGCCTTAAACGAAATGCAATTTTAGCATAATAATTTATCTTATATTCCCCCCTTATAGGAAATAGATACTACTATTAAATGTATAATAGCATATTATATAATAATGTATAATATAGATACTACTATTAAATGTATAATAGTATAATATATAATAATGTATCTTATATTCCCCCCTTATAGGGAATAGATACTACTATTAAATGTATAATAGCATATTATATAATAATGTATAATATAGATACTACTATCAAATGTATAATAGTATAATATATAATAATGTATCTTATATTCCCCTCTTATAGTGAAACCACTTGAATTCCGAATTCCGATTAAACAGTTGCGAAATCTCAAATTGACGACTTATTTGCTTAAACCAACTCATTTGAAGAATGTTTTCTTTGGGTGGCGAATAAGGTACCATTCTCCCGAGTCCTACAAAGGCGAGATGCCTTCCTCCAGACCTGCCTACAAAACGGCATCCTCTTGCATCACTCACCCAAGCACTAGACGGCCGTTTCAGCACTGTTCTGATACAGCCGGCCCGA